TTGAAGCTTAAACCGAAGACTGCTTAAGCCAAAAACTTAATAAATGCATATTATTTATAAAAATTCTTGCTTTAATAGTCTTTCATTATTAAGCAATTAATAACAAATGAAACACTTAAAAAATACTTCAAATTTTGAAAAAACCATGCAAATATATTCAACAACAAAAAATAGCTGAGCTATGTTGAGTTGTTGTGCAATGCACAGATGAGTGGCATAATTGCGTGGCAGCAGGAGCTGGATGAGAATTTGTGGTTAAGTTATTAAACGCATTATCATAAATACAATTGACAACTTATGACTAATGATAAGCTGGCATGCAACTGGAGCAGCGCGCAGCGTTGAAGACGGAAATGTGGCAGGGCAGACGGCGGGGCAGACGTGTAGTTTGGGGGCAGCAGCGGCAGCAAGCCGCAAATAAAGTGTTAATAATATAGATGGCAATGGCAGCGCAGTTTGCGCTTAATAAAGCAGCCGCCAGCCTGTCAGTCAGTCAACCAGTCAGCCAGTCAAGCAGTCAGTCCGTCAAGCAGTTGGCACGCAACTGAGCTGCAATATGCGCCAAGCTAGCAAAATATGAAAAATAAAAACTACAAGAAAAAAACTAAGAAGAAACCAAAGAAATAATTAAAACAAACAACAAGAGCGCAAAATGCTAAGCAGCTCGTGAGCTCAAGAGCTGGTGGAGAGCTGGCAGCTCCCTGAGCAGCTGAAGGTGTCTTTTGCGGCATCGGCCTCTAACTGACCTACCTGGCTACACGGCTACATGGTGGTGGCTAAAACTGGAATCCGTTATAGTTTATTGCCGCCGCTTGGTGCATTTTATTTTTGTTTTTTCAATTTGGAGCAGGTGTAAGTGGCAGGCAGGCAGGCAGGCAGGCAGCAGCTCGACTCGCAGAGACACTTGACCGCATTTTGGAGCCACGCGCCTACAAACGAGGCAGGTGAAAAGTCTCTGTTCATGTCCTGGCCACAATCGAGGGTCGCTCAGGTTATAAATTAAGCGAGCGCCTGCAGCAGCAGCGGCAGCAGCAGCGGCAACTGCGAGGGGTCATTGCAGGATTCACTGAGCCACGGCTAAGACATTGGATCGACTGTCTCAGCCGCTGGCTGCCTTTTGTATGATTGATTGTGGCTTAATGCCAGGCGGAAGCAGCTGAAGCAGGCGACGCATTTCCCAAATTGACGTAGTGAGTGACTGAGCCGATCTAACCGACTGACTAGCTGACTGACTGACTGACTGACTGCCTGACTGACTGACATACGTTACAATTCAGCCGCTCACTCATTTGACGATTTGATTTGCTGACTGCGATAAGGCGAGCTGCCAACCCGCGCTCTCCCTCTGCCACTCTATCTCTCACTCTCACTCTTTTTCTCACCCCTAATCCGCCGGTTGGTGTGAATTTAATCTAGCAAAGAGCTGGCAATCCTTTTTTGCGAAAAGCTGTTACATTTACCCAATGGCCGCTCTCTAATAGCATCCCAGCCTGCTTATCAAGATGTTCACACACAGCACACACAATGAATCGAGTGTTGTCACTCTGAGGCTGAGGTTTCAGTTCGGGCCTTTTGTTGCTGATCATTCAAATGCGATGTGCTGCCAATGATAAGGCGCCATGGCTATTGCCAGCTGCCTGTTTTTCTTTTTAGCTGCATTTTGGTTAATTGAATTGGCCATAGGCCCAACGCTGCCCCATCACCTGCTGCTGCTGCTGTTGCTGCCTGACTGCCTGCAGCTCCTGTCGCTCTGTCAGGGATTGTCATCTTCAAATGTCAAACACGTCGAGCTAAGTGCTCGGCTGGCTGTGCATACAATTAATTATGTCATTCACGTTGGCGACTGGCCACAACAACAACAATAACAACAATTTGAGACTGCAATTAAAAGGCGCTTTCGGTACGCTTTTCTGTTTAGAGTCTAAGGCAGACACGGCTTAGACGTACAGGCGCTGAGTTGAGACTTGGCTTTAAGTTGACTTCAGCTCGAGTTGAGTTCGAGTTGAGCGCTTGTCAAACGCTTTTAAAACGCCACACACATGTCCAAGCGTCGCTTTATGGAGTGTCTCTTACACATACACATACGAGTCGGCTTTGTGGCTTTGATCTGTCAGTTTGAAGAAATCAAGCGCAGGCCAAAAACTTCAAAATGTTTTTTGTTATTTGGCTTTTTTGTTTTTGCGGTGCGCTACAACAAAAATTAAAGGCAGATTTTATTGTAGCGCTTTGTTTATTGCTGTTGTTGCTGTTGTGTAGAACGTGTCAGCCAGGCTTTTGGCTTTGTGGGACGGCCAAGGGCACGACGACGACGTCGCCGCTTTTCACCAGCACGAGCTTTGCATACCGACAATGACAACAGCAGCAGCAGCAGCAGCAACAATATCAAAAAAAATGTCGTTGTATGTGTGTGTGTGTGTGTGTGTTTTGCAACTTTAATTGCTGTACTCAGCTTGATTTATTAGCGAATTGTTTTATACAAAAAAAAAAAGATGCCAACAGCCTTTAACAACAGCAGCCGCAGCAGCAACAACAACAGTTAACAGTGACTCATCTTAACAGACTTAACAGCGCTCTGTTATCTTCAAATATATATTATTTGGTCTTATGCAAAAAAAATAGAATATGCCAAACAGCCTTCAACAACAGCAGCCGCAAATGCAACAACAGTGAGTCATCGCCGCTTAACAGCAGCCTTAACAGCGCTCTGTTATCGGCAACACGATCGCAAATTGAAAGTTTTCATTGGCCGCAATTAAAGTTCGCATTGCCATTGATTTGTGGCAAGTGAAGGCTCACTGAAAGCGATGCCTCCTCACATATAATTTGGCATGTCCAATACGCTTATTTGGGCACCCAAAATTATATACACAGCGCCAGTCGATGACGACTTCATATAGAATATAACTTCTTCATACTGCATGCATGTATCTGTGGCTGTGGCAGCTGCACTTTTTGGTGGCACGTCGCAGCAATTGTCTCTGCTGCCAAAGTGTGAAGTTTGCTCTGTGGCTGGGGCTGGATGGTAACAAGCCGCAACAATTGAGGCATTGCACTGCGCCACAAAACTATCTCACAACAGACAGCAGCAACTGGGAAGAAAACCTCTGCGCCTCTGCCTGCGTTGGGCTGCTGTGCATAATTTCTATAATCAGACACACGTACATATAATATCGCTGCTAAAGCACTGTTATTAGGATAATCAAATGGATATTATCGCAGGCAGCGATCGATCCGCATCATTGCAACAACAGGCAGCAGGCACCAGGCAGTGGCAAGCTTCGAATACCCTTGGGAAAGAGAAGCCAACAGAACTTTGTACACTCGGCGAAAAATGCGCTGCTAATTTTAAATTTGACTGGATTTGAATGCGGTCAGTTTTGTTTGTCAACTTTCAAGCAAATTTGCTTCTTAAACATACTTTTAAATAAATTATGAATCATATTTAATTGTCAGAATAAACGGTATAAGGGCTTGGTTTAAGATCGAAATACAAATACAAAAATTACAAGCATTTGCATGCTCGAAATAAGCGGACATTATTTTTGAATCTTGTATTTAAAAAATTTTAAATTAAAAAAAAAAAGATTGAAAAATACGAAATCGATCTAAAAAATAAAATGTTGACTGAATTTTGTACTTTTTGAGTATATTATTTTGTGCTATTTCTCCCAGTGTAACTCATACACTTAATATACTAAAATTCTTTAAAACAAATAATCAATAATAGCAAAACCGATTCAATAGAATAGACTCTTACTTTTTGAAATTTCGACTCCAGAGCATTTAGAGCTTGCCTTGAGTCAATTAAGGCAGTTGAGCAGCTTTTGAGAAGCCTGTGCCTGTGCGATAGAGCATCTACGATTCGGCTTGCTGTTGATAGCTTTATTTGCCCGTCTGCTCAGACTATTGCTTGGGCCGCAAAACTAATCCATCTCGGCGAGCATTGAACTGACTGACCTACTGTTAGACAGACAATCCAAGCGGGGCTTTTCGTGGCAACGTGGCAAACGGAGTCGAAGTTGGAGTTAAAGTCGGAGTCGACTTTGGCGTCAGCGTTCGACAGCGGCTGCTGCATAATCAAAAATAATTTCACATACAAACAAGCCCCAAAGCTAACACAGAGCTGTTTGGAGCTGCAGCCGGGGCACCAATATTAATGATAATAATAAGAATAAGTGCGCAGAGCAAGCAGCCCCCACCCCTACCCCCCTGCCCACACCTCACTGCCACTGCCGCAAACAATTGCAGGATATATGTATGCATGTATATGAGATGGCGTGGCACGTTACAACGATGCGTTGCAGCGCTATGGAAACGGCAGCATTGGCGCACATAAATCTCACTTGGTGTCCGCTAAATTATACACTGCCAGACATTTAGGCTACACTTTTAGCCAAAGCCCGGCTTTGTGGGTTTGAGGGCAGCAGCAAAAACGGCGGCGGCGGCGGCGGCGCAGGCGCATTCGAAGCCCGCTGCTGATCGATCTTTTTAGCTTTGGGACAAAAGTTTAACGCGATTGTTTATGATACAAATTAAACAATTTATGACAATGCAGCAGCAGCAGCCGCAGCAGCAGCCGCAGTCTTGGCCATATGCAAAGTCAGTCTGCGCTAAGGCCGCGAGCGTCCGTGGTCCGAGTGCCTTACTGCCAGCCTCGGCAACAGCAGCAGCAGCAACAGCAGCAGAGGCGGCGGCAGCAGCAACTGTTGCTGGTGTTTCATAAATTATAACGCAGCTTTTCCGCCTCGAAAAAAGAGAACAACGTCATTTATTATGAATTTTTTATCGCTTCTGGTCTCTGTCTTGAGCGCTCTGCCCCTCCCTGCCCTCTCTACCTTAGTCACTCTGCCTCGTGATTCTCATCTCGGCTTAGGCTGTTAATCTTCGTTATAAATTTTGGCCATAATTGATTTAATGCTGCATTTAACTTGATTTTTTAGCGCGTTTTATTAAATTCTTATCCTTGTATTTTGCTCTTTTTTCGTTTACTTTTCCTTTAGCATCCCGCATGCCCTCCTCACATGCCTCGTCCCAAGTGTGCCGGCCACACTTTCATCCGCCGCTCAGTCCCTGGCTGACCAGCGAGCACAAATCGTTTGCACCCGCCAGCGCTTGGGGCATGGGTCAGTTCGCCTGCCCCCAGGAGCCGCAGGTGGAGCATAAACTGGGCCAGGTGGGCCAAAGCCATCAGACGACGGCGGCCGGCCAGCATTCGTTTCCATTCCCACCGACACCGCCAAAGGACTCCACGCCCGACTCAGTACAAACCGGCCCATCCGAGTACCAGGTAAGTCAAGCCCCACTCCCCCTCTCTCATTGCTTATATCACTTTAATTTTGCGATTGATACCGTTACAGGCCGTGATGAACGCCTTCATGCATCAACAGGCCACGGGCTCTACCTCACTGACGGACGCCAGCTGTGCGCTGGACATCAAGCCCTCCATACAGAATGGCGGCGCAGCTGCAGCGCATGCGGCCAGCGCTGGACCGGCGCAATCTGCGCCCAAGCAGCGCGAAGGTAGTACTAACAACAACAACAATAATACAAATAGCTCAAATAGCAGCAGCAACGGCAGCAGCGCCGGCAACCAAGCGCCGCAGCAGCAGCAGCAGCAACAGCAGCAGCAGCAGCAAAGCAACAACAGCAATGCCTCCTCATCCGCCTCCGCCTCAACGTCGAACGGTCTGTTCGATGGCACTGCCCAGGCGCACTATGCGGCCAACAATGCCAACAGCTATGACAGCAGTTATGCCTCGTATCATCATGCGGCGGCGCAGCATCAGGCGGCTGTTGCCGCTGCCAACATGTTCCAAAGTTCCTCCGTGGCAGCGGCCGCTGTGCGGCATAGCATGGGTGCCGCAGCGGCAGCGGCGGCGCACCATCATCACCACCACAGTCATAGTCATCATCATGGTGCGTCCGGCTCCGCGTCTGGCAGCGGCATTGCGGGGCTGCATGGCAGCGGCGGTGGCAGCGGCAGCGGCGGCGGCGGCATTGGCATGAGCGGCATGGGCAGCGCCATGAGCAGCGGCGGTCACAGCAGCTCAAGTGGTGGAGGCGCTGGCGGCGTCGGACTCGATGTGAAGCCTGTGCGCACAAAGCCCCGGACCAGTGCTGGTAAGCAAGACAAAAGTTTCAAACACTGTTGCGATATTGGTGTGGGTAATAAATAATTGTTAATTGTTCGATCGATGAACGATAGAAAATATTGTTTATCGATAAACGATTTGCTTAATTATAATTAGATCTGTGTTGTGTGCAAACACTTATCGATTTTAGTTTCTAGTTTAGTTCTAATCTCTTACTTTGTAGCCTAAGTTCTTCATATGTTTTATTCTCTTTTTGGCTTTTGATTTTCATTTGTTTCACACGTTCGCACACACACACACTCACACACACGTGGGAAGCTCGCTCACTTAACTGCACTTTGTGGCACCACTCTTCAACATTTTCAGCGGCACTTGACATGTGTGTGTGCTTCCTCTCCGCCTCTCCCACTATCCCTCCCATTCTCCTACCCTCTCTCTCTCTTAGCTCTGTCCACATTCCCGCCACTTGGGCATGTTTCCTGCTCCACTCTTAAAATATGTATGCAGTCAGGCAGATTCAGATTTACACACGCCCTCCTGTTTGCCCGGCAGTTTTGTACCATTGCGTATACGCCGCGTGCGCTCACCATGAAATCAGCACAATGGCAACAACAACAACTACATCGGAGAAGAAGAAGAAGAAGAAGAAGAAGAAGAAGAAGAAGAAACGGCGGCAGCAGCAGAGAGTGTACTGCAGTTGCCGCTGCTGCAAAAACTTCAATGCTATTGTCAACGCTTTAGCTGTGCTGCGCTGCGTCATCAGCTGGTTGTTGTTGTTGTTTTGTGTTGTAGTTGTTAATTACTTCATGTTGCTGCTGCTGCCACACACACACGCACACAAACACACGCTGGCATTCGCTGCGGAAGTTTGTTGCTGCACCTGCTTCGCAGTCGCCGTCTCAGCCGGTTTCGCATGTCGCTGCCAGCAACAACAACAACAACAACAATAATAACAAAAGCAGCAACAACGACAACTTTATAGCCGCTCGGTAATGCGTGAGAGGTTGCGGGTTGAGGGTCGCTGAGGCAGTTGCAGTTGCAACCCCTCGCAAAGCCAGCCATGTATTATACGAAGCAACATAACAGCCGGCTTAGCTAACAGCCAGCTGTTAAGCGACAGACTGTTAAAAGAGCGTAACAGCTTGCTGTTAAAAGCATTCGCACATTTAACAGTCAAAAGTCAAATGAGGAAGCAAAAAGTTGCCATGTGAACTAAGTAGCCAACGTCTTTGTATCTGTATCTCAGCCTTTGTAGCTGTATCTGTATCTGTAGCTGTATCTGCATCTGCATCTTCTGAGCTGTGTGTTGTACGCGATGTAGGAAGCTGCGGGCTGACAAAATGTTTTGCCTGCGCTTCATATTATTTCATTTGCTCGACAGTTTTTTTCCTTCTGCTGTTGTTGTTGCTGTTTAACTAACCAAAAAGTTGTCTGCGACATTATTGTTGTGGCTGCGGGCGCGTTCGTTAGCCAAGGATCCGACGTTCCACTGTCCACTGTCCGTCTGTCCGTCTGTCTGTCTGTCCGTTTGTTGTTTTTGTATTTATTTATCGTTTATCGCATCGCTTGCGATAAGTTTTTTCGGGGCGCAAGAACATGTGTTGGGTGCTCTTGGCTCTTGTTGCCACTGCCCCCCCAAAAAATCAATGGCAGTCGGCAGTCGCGCATTCCCCAAGTCTCAGTCGAGTCCACTGTGCAGTTGGCTCGACTCTGGATTTATGCTTGGCCAGCGCTTGGCCAAATTGATTGGATGCCATTTGGGCTTTTGTCAGGTGAAAATAAAAAATGTTGTGAATGAGCTTTAAGTAATTGATATGGGTACGAGTCCATGGTCAGACCTCTATGGTACGCGCAGCCTTCACTCAATCAGCCCTGCTGTCCGTGGGTCTGTGGGTCTGTGCGGCCGCATGTCCATCGGCAGGCGCAGTCGCAGCTACAGCTTAACAGCGGGGATGAGCTTCTTGTGCGCGCGTCCATTGTTCCTTTGTCCCAGCGCCTTGACAGCTGTGGCCTTAAAATGAGGCGCTTGCCGCTTATTTGAGGCATGCGTGGCATGGCCACAGGCGTTAACCGGCCATGCCAGCCAGCGAAGGCCTACGAACTCCCAGTTGAATCGAGCTCTCTCCTGTCCGCTCTCCTGCTCTCCTGTGTAAATTATTCATACTAAGCGCATACATTTTATTCAGCTTCAGCTTGCATTTTATTTTCGATTTTATTTTACTTTAAACTTTATTTTCCTTGTGTTTGTGATTTTCTTAAGCATTTTCATTTTCATTAAAGCAAAAAGAAAAATATATATCAAATTCAACAACAACTATTTACTCACACATCCACATGTGTCTTTTGTCTTGTTCACCAGTAAACGTCTTTCTATCTATATATATATATATATATATATATCTGTCTCTCTTTTTCACTCTCTCTCTCTATTGCTGTAACCATCTATCTATATATCTATGTATCTCAAGTAACCTTTAACTAGTATAAATGTTTATTAATATCAACAAACAAACAAAAACAACAAACAACGGCAACTAATTAAAACTGCAGTTGACCCTTCGCATTGGGCCTGCCCACGACTGCGACTAACAAATTAAAGGGAATTTTTCTTCTCCTGAAAAGGTACAAGACATAAATTCTAGACAATTATGGCCACTGACGCCAAATGTCAAATCAAGCAGCGAGCACAGTTAGTTAGACCTTTAAACTCGGACACATGCCCAAGACCTTCTTAATGCCAAATCAGGCCCTAAAAACAGGTTCAGCTGATGCTCTCCGGTGTCTCTTGGGCTACGTTTCGGGTTCAGGCCCATGGCCAGACAATGTCACACGAACCCGTGGCCGTAAAACCAAAATAAAAAAATTCAACCCAAACCCAAAGAAGAGCACACGAAAACGAAATACCAAAGTGTGCACAAATTTCCAAGAAATTACAACGCAATGCTGTGGATGATTGTGCCCATGTGGATGTGGCTGTGGCTCCGGCTCCGGCTCCGGGTCCGACTACGACTGTGGCTGGACCACAAGAGAAACAGTTATAACATGCTACTAAATCATAGGTTAACTGAGAATCTGGCCAACCTGCTACGTGTTGTATTGTGGAAAATGAAAATGAAAATAAATAAAATTGTGAAAAACTGTCAAAGGCATGGGCGGGGGCATGCTGCAGACAGCAGCCCGGCGACAAGCAAATTGAAATCAAAACAAAGCTGGAAAACAATAACAACAACAAAGAACCCAAATAATTTAATGGCCATAAAAAAACACACACACGGCGAAAGAGCAAGAGCAAGTGCGAGTGAAAGAGAGCGAAATACAAGGATCCTCCACAGATCAGCCCAAGAGAATCAAATAAAAATGTACTAAAACAAAAGAGGCCAGCACTGGAGTGAGACAAAGAGGCATATACAGAGCGGGAGTCAGAGAGAGAAAGAGAGAGAAACAGAGAGTGAAAGAGAGGCTGTGCGCGTGCGCCGTGTATGCCATATAGCGCTTTGTGGGATTCATATTACGGGATACGAATAATTCTCGCAGGGGCTGTAGTTGTCGCCGTCGTTGTTGGCCCTCTTGTGCTGCCTTTGTTGTCAAAAGTGGGCACACTGGGTAAAAACATCATTAACACATTTGATTTATTAACTGGCGAGTGGCTTGGAGCAGCAGCAACAGAGCAACCACAGCGAACTTCATTGGAATTGTGCTAGAACAAAAGCAACAACAACAAAAAGAACAGCCACAGCAACAGCAACAGCAGCAGCAGCCACTCACAATGCCACAAAGCCACACTTTATGGCTTAATATGGGCTGAATGTGGCAGCCCAACAAAACACTCGACCTCTATTCGGATTTATAACAGCCAATAAATGCATAAAGTTTTCCGCACTCAACGACTACCGTGTGCGACTGAGGTAAAGGACATTAGGCAATAGTCAAATCAGTCGAAATTGAGGTGGAATATTAAATCAAGATGATATCGAGATCTTCTGAAAATATAGTAGTTTAAAAAATCTCGAAATTCTACAATTATGTTACACAACTTGCTTTCAGAAGTTCGAAAAAGTGAAAAAAGCGAAAGTGAAAAAAGCTAAAATTGAATTCAAACTTATTAATTGAAATTAAATAATCCAGAATATATATAAATTCTTAGGTCATGCTTTACAGCATGTTGAGAGATCAAGTTGATATTCAGGAAACCACAAGATATAAAATACTAGATTTACGACAATCGAAGCAAACCTTAGAAAATCCTGAATGCATTAACAAACACACATATTTCGAGGTATCCGAATTAATGCAGCTATATGTTCGTAAAGGCGAAATGGAGGCAACCTATAGAAAAGCTAATAAAATGAATTTCTCAACAAGATATAAGAACATTCAAATTGAAGCCAAAAGAATTTTGTCAAGACTTTTGAACTATGACATTTGCTTCAATTAGGTATATATATTTCATTTGGGAGCTAAGCATGATATGCCCAACACGATATAAAAGTCTATAATTTACAAATTGATAAACGATATAAGATAAACACAAAAGTTGCTTCAATTGAATTGGAAACTGTGATAATGAGAAACAAGGCAAAACTTGTTCAAATGAAGTACTCAATCAGCTATGAGAGTTCCATAGTACACGATCTGCAACTTTAGCAACTTAATAAAAGTTGTCACAACGAATATTGAAAGCTTTTTGTAGAACACTAAAAAAAAAAAGAAATAAAAACAAAGTCAAGTCAAACAAATAACTGTTAACGATTTCAGCGGCTTTCAAATAATTTATGCAATTTTTATACAGTGGGTGTTACTTTTCTGATTGGCGGCAATTTGGCTTGGGGCCTTTGTTACGCAGTCCCCCCTGCCCCGCCTCACCGAAAAAAGAAAAACTGAAACTGTAAAGCAAATAACGCCCAGCGCCAAATGTGCGGCAATTAAAAAAGTCGTACAAAAACAGCAAGAAAAGAAAGAAACAAAAAAGAAAACGAAACGAAACGCACAAAAAATATCAAGTACATGCGCTATAAAAAGATAAATATATATACAGATATAAATATACATATATACACATATATATATCTAAAAAAAAGCAAGATAAAGTTGCGATTAAATGAAAACAAATGAACTGTTTATTTAACGCGCCCCTGGCGAGTGCGTGGGCGGGGTGGCTGCGGGTGGTGCTGGGCTCAGCTTTAGTGTGGACAATGCACAGGGCTGGCGCGAGGGGGGATACGAAACACGCAGAACGTTTAATTTAATTTCTTTGAAAGCTCAAAAACAAAATGCTTGGCATGCCAGCGGGACACAGGACACACGTGTGATTGTCCTGCTGCGCAGCCAGGCGCTGGTAGGAGGGGGGCAGAGCTTCAGCGTTCTTTCTAGCAGTCGAAGCGCGTATAAACAGCAGCAAATCACGTAAGGCTCTTAAAAAGCCGAAACAGAAAAACTGTCATCAAAATGTTTCTAATGGCATTTGGGCAGGCAACGAGTTGACAACGCACTTAATGAGCCGCCACTAGCCACTGGGTGTGACCAGCTAATATTCAATAAAAAACCAGCATGCCAAAGGGAATGAAAGTTATGCCTATGCGAGCATGTAAAGCGCAAACGTTAATTAATTACAATGCACCAAAAATATGTTAGCCCAATTCGGCCTCATTTTTTTTTGGTGAGTAGCGTTAAATCTGTTTTAGCCAGAATGCGCCGCAAGTTTTCCTCTTTTGTTTTTTTTATGACTAAATTTCAATTTGAAGCGAACGAGCAAACAAACAAACCAACAAACGGACAGACAAACGATATAATGAAACCCATTTAGTGGCGTCATTAAATGCGAGAGCAGAATATGCCATACAAAGACAAAGGCAACTGTAATATGCGAACGTTAATAACGCGTTACATTTGCAACTTCATTTTCAAAGCCAAGCCAAGTCAAGTCAAGTCGCTTACAAATTATGCCTAAAGTTATTCAAATGAGTTGCGTTTGCCGCGAAACAGTTAGTGCCAGGGCAGGGGCTAGTCGGGGCCGATTGCAGCCACTAGAACCGGCCGCTGCTTAATTAAAATGTGTGGAGTCAGCAAGGAAGGCAGCGCTGCAGCGCCCAGTGCCAGCGAATCCATCATTTCCGCTTCCATGCGTTTTATGCCAGCGAAAAAGAAAAGAAAAAAAAACAACAAAGAGTAGCAACAAAAAAAAAGAAATATAAACTAAGAGCAAAAAACAAGACTGAGAAACAGCTGAAAAATGTGTGCCGCAGCGAGTTGTTGTTGCCGCAGATACTTTGTATTGTTGTTGATGTTGTTGTTGTTGTTGTTGTTGCCCAACAAGCTGCCTGCTGACTGCACTGCAGTCTAAACTCTAATTTAAGCCAAATTTAAGCACATATTATATTTGAGTTTTGACAAACATTGTTTTTTGTGTATTTACAGAGGGTCGCGAGTGTGTGAACTGTGGCGCCACCTCCACGCCGCTGTGGCGACGGGACGGCACTGGACATTATCTGTGCAATGCCTGTGGCCTGTACTACAAAATGAACGGACAGAATCGACCGCTGATCAAGCCAAAGCGAAGACTGGTAAGTTGCAGCAAAATGTGTAAATGCTAGTTTAATACAGCCCCCTCTTGCCCTTTACCGCACCCACTGAACCACCCGCTGCGTGCAGCTTCCACACATTGCCACAAATTGATCAATAAATTTATGAACTGTATTCCTTGGAATTTGCTGGCGCATCAATCTCAGCGCACGTTTCTGTCGCCAAAAGCCATAAAAAGCAGCGTGAAAGTTCTCAAATGTCATAATAATTCCAGGAACATAACGCAGCACACTCCGACACACACACACACACATGCGTATATGCATTTAATTATCATTTTTCTGACTAGCTGGCGTCTTGATTGCAGAGCTGAGTGAACGCTTTGGCTGATAATAATCAAGGCGCATCATCATTATCACTTAACGCACTAAAAACATAATCAGGCAGCAGCCAGTTGTTTGTGTGGGTTATTGGAGATGCCACAAAACAACTTCTACTCTCTCACTCTTTCTCTCTCTTCCTCTACCTCTCCCGCTCTGTCTCTTTGTCTCTGTCTGTGTCGCTGGCCAAGGCACATTATCGTTTTTTATCGGGCGCACGCATCAACAGCAACAAACTATGAAAATATATGTAACGCTGTCCGTCCGAAGGTCTGCCCTGGCGCCAACTACATCAGCAGCCACAGCAGCAGGAACAGCAAACGAAAGACTTAAGCAACGAACTCACACGCTGTCACTGCGTGTGAAAGAGAAAGCAAGACAGCTTACTGCGCTGGGCCTATACAAAATTAGTCCATTAAACATGCGTAAAAACAAAATAAGCAGCAACAACAACAACAGCAACAACAGCAACAACAACAACAACAAACAACTGTTAACTGCAGTTGGGTTTGTGTCTCGGCTCGTAGCTGTTCGCGTTGATTTTTTATTGGCATTTAAATCGTATGCATTTTGATTGCATAACATTAACATAAATAAACCATTATTGGATGAAAAAAATACAACAAAAACAAACAAATCAAATAAGAAGAAGAAGCAGCAGCACATACTACTGACGTGGCAGCGCGGGCAAACGCAGGGAATTCCCAAGAAATTCACAGCTGGAGGCGAACGCTGTGTTTGCCTGTTTGTGGTGGAACGAAGTGTTTGTTGATTTCTCGATGACAAAATATGCAACAAATTAAAATTTATATGCCCTAACGCTCGACTTATGGCAGCGACTGGTGCAAGCGAGCTGGCCGAGCTGCCCGATGCCACAGGATGCTGCCCATCAATGTCCTTTTTGAAGGGCCGGCCACATCGCCTGCGGCTGAAATGCAATTCAATTGTTTCGCCAACAATATTGACTGGAGACTCGCTTTCAATTCGCGCTGGGTGGCAATTGTATTGATTTCGCAAGAGGGTCAAGACTGTGTTGACTGCTCTGACTCTGCGTTTTGCATACAACGCTGGCCACTGGCCAATGGTATCTGCAACTGCAACTGCACCTGCCCCACTGCGACTGCGACTGCGACGGCAACTGCGACGGCGACGGCGACTGCGGCTTGCGCATCTCATTGTCTGCTCGGCCGCCTTTAATTAAATTTCCGAATTGTATGAAAACAGTCAACAAGTCGTAACTTTGAGCAGCACAAAAATTGTGCTTTGTTGTTGCTGTTCTTGCTGAAACAGAACAATGCAAATTTTTAATTTATGTATTTTAGCCCGCAAACCAAGCAGCAGCAGCAGCAGCAACAACAACAACGATTCAGTCGCCTTCGCTTACATATGTTTGCAGTTGTTGTTGCTCTTTTTCATTGTTGTTTCTTATTTTTTGGCTGCCCGCTTGGCCCGCTGGCGTTTCAATAATTGCATTTAATTATAAGGCCACAAATGTTTTGTGCGCCACTCGCTGCCGCAGGCTCTGTGGCAAGTCCAGGCCAAGCCCCAATTGGCTAGCCAACCTTCAGTATGGATTTGTCACATTCGTAGCTGGCTTTAAAGCTATTCTGACTATGGCTAATTGCAAATGCATGTTAAATGCTTAGGAACACAGCTGTTAAGGTCAGCAACTGCCGGGCGCATCTCAGCGAACAGCAGCAACAACAACGCAATCGTGACTTATATAAATATAAATATAAACGACATGTGTTAGTCAAGCCCCTGAGGGGCTGGCGGAGGAGGCCCAGGGTTGTGGGCACGGGCGTTGCTTGCATTTTGCATAATATTTATGCCGCAGTCGGTTTTTTTGTTGTTGTTTTGTTTTTATTTTTAATTTATGCGAGTTTTCACACAATAAATTGAACAAAACGTTGGCTGTTGTTCTTGCTAGTGTTGTTGACGTTGTCGTTGTTGCTGTTCATTCGTATATATATAAATTGTTGTTAAGCGCTGCAAAATTGTTTATTTTTATGCTTATTACGTTGCCTTATATCATTTGAATGCAAAGACTACAACTTGCAATTGCTATTTGAAGCTTTGTGGCTGCAGTTTTTGTTGTTTTTGTTGCTGTTTGCCGGCGCTGTAACAATAAACCCATCAACACTTGACACAATCATTTATAAATGTATTATTTAAGTGCCCGCAAAGCTGCTTAATTAATTATTTATCAAAGGCGTATTTCAACGCCAAAAACAACAACAACAACACTTTACATTAGCCGCCACTTAACGGCCATTAAATATATCAATTTCAATTTGGAATGCCCTAACTTAGTCATAGATTTATTTGAAAAAAAAAAAAAACTAAAGGCAGACATTCATTTAATATGTTGGCAGTTAAAATATGCGGTCCCTCATAAAAGACTTGTCTTAAGTAGCCCGCAGCAGCAGAAATATTTGAATAAAAAAAACACTACAGAAATTAACTTGTAAATTAAATATATTACTGGAAAGCAAACAACGAATTATACAAATAAAAGAAAAAAGGCAGAGAGAGATGGAAAGCAAAATGTAGAATATTTTAGAGTTCTAGAAATTTTGTAAGCGAAAAACATGGACTTCCAAATAAGACAAGTTGTCTTCCTTGGTTGTTTTCTGGATAAAATAGTGTTTAAATAAAAGCAGATTTCAACCGAAAATTCGTTAAAACCAGATAATAATACAACAAATTCAATTTTCGGCCTTGCCAATCGGCATCAAAAATATTGCAGAACTATCAGATAAAATTTCAAATAGTTTTTATTTAACAGAACGTGTTAGGCAGAGTAACCGAGCATCGGTGTGTTGCCATAATTATACTTGTCTTCAGATCGGTAATTCAAATGTTAGGCACCCCACTGTGCCACAACAACAACAACAACAGCAACAACCAACTAGCTGAGCCAGAATCATCAATAAAATTAACTGGCGTCAAGTGATTGACAAACGCTGACTCGACAGTTTTGCTTGTATTTGTTGTAGTCGGGGGAGTATGGGGTAGCTTGTGTGCCACGCTTATCAAAAGCTCAAAAAAGAGAACAAAAACCAACCAAAATTCTAATTAACACATTTTTGCTGAGCGCGTTTTGTGTGTGCGCCATATGTGCGATAGACGCTCAAAGCGAGAACTGGATCGAATTGAATTGGCAGCCCTTTGGCGTGGGAATTTCGCGCATAACGCGAATTAAAAAACCCAAGCGAAGAGCAACAATAAACGGGGCAACAATTCTGGAGGCAGTTACGCCAAAAATTAAATGCAAGGCGCAGACGCTTCACGTATAAATCAAGTTACCAAAATGCGCGCCAAATGAAAGTCAAAGTCAAAGCGATCGATAAAACTACAACAGCAATAACAACAACAACAACAGCAGCAGCAGCAAAACGTATCAAAACTAAAGCAAACGGCAAAAACGGCAACAACATTAACAACATCAACAACTGAGCCAAAGTAAAAGTTCAATGCACGTTCGGCAAACGGGGCGTATACGCAATCGAGCGCATTAAGTCGCCCGGACATTTTCGCTGTGCCTCGGCCAGAGGCCAGAGCAATATGTTCACTTGTTATACTCATTTTTTTTATATTTTGTGGGGCGCTAGGATCTTGTTAAGAGTGCGCTCATTTCATCAAGTGGGCAGCCTAATGCCATTAAAATGCACTTGAACTGGCCAGCAAGAGGCTAAGGGGCGAGGCTGAGGCTGAGGCTGAGGCTGGGAGCGAGCAGCGGGCTACATGTGTCCTGCTGTTGCTGCTGCTGCTGCTGCTTGGGGCACAAGCTGACGAACTGCAACATTGTGCCGCAGCGCAGATCAATTAAAAATTAACGATATGAAGCGCAGCCGCAGCCGCAAAACTGGGCGTGCCAATAATATAATGAAACAGGCTCACACAATCCACAAACAGCGAGCAACGGCAAGAAAGAGACAGAGAGAGAGAGAGAGAGGCAGCGAGAGAGTTTGTGTGCGAGCGTGGAGTCTGTGCGCGGGTCGCGAATGATTAAGGCCTATATTCTGCCGCTCGTTAGGACGTCCCTGGCCTCAGGTTTAGGCAAGCGAACGGGTTGAAAATAAATATAAAAAAAGTAAATAAATAAAAATAACATAAATCTATTTAATATGCAAAGGCATAATTTGCACTGGGCCCGAAAAGCTAAGCTGCGCCCCGAAAGGGTTGCATTTTCTAACCCTTTTATTTTCGCTCAGACAATATGTGAAAATGTGGTCAGGCACGCAGCCCCACAGTCAGAAATACTGTAAAAAGCGCGTGTTTAGAGCACATTCATTTTGGTAACAGCAGCTGGCCAAAAGGGGACCAGGTTCTATTTAATTTATATGTGCAGTTGCAATGTCCAGTGACAAATATTAATGACGATTTTCATGCCTTCACAAATCGTGCCCATGGCTGGGGGAGCGCGGGCCCCATTTTTGCCTAGACTTGACCATGTTGCTGTCACTGTTATTGTTGTTGTTGTTGTCGCTGTTTAAAATGCACAAGACTGAAACCTTTTGGGCGCTGTCTGCGACAAATTTCCATGCGACGACAAGTTGTGGCCAGCACAACAACAGCTCCAAAGGGCTCGTAAAATTCATTGAGCAGCATTAATGAGCGACATTAATAGCTTGTCGTAACCGAAGTTGTTGTCGTTGTTCCTATACCTGTTCAGTAAAAACATTTTATTGATTTTTCTAGCCGAGCAGCAGGTGTGATTTTTAGCAATAGTTTTTCGCTTTCTTTGTGCGTGCCTGCAAATGAGCCAAGCTGATGTATTAATTAGGCAAATGTGTCTAAGAAAAATAAAAATAAAAAAAGCACGAAGCCAATCAACGAGCTGTGCTAGCAACCCTTGAAATAAATATCGAAAAAAAAAATGCCAACACAAAATTCCAAAGCAACAGCCTGCCCTGCCACGCCCCAAAGCTGCTAACAGCATGTGGCTGTGCTCAACGAATCCGTTTGGCAAAAAGGAAATGAGCCCAGGATATAAAAAAAAAAGAAAGGCAAAAAAGCAGAAAAAATAGGGTATACACGAGCCTAGTCCATTTATGCTGTCGCAAACGAAATTTGAATTTTTAAATTAAATTTCACAGTCGCACAAGTTTTATTTCTGTTACAAACACTGCACAACATGATCAAAAAAAGAATATATATAAAGCTAAATATATATATATATATATATATATATATATATATACACATATATATATGTAAATATGTGTAACTGTTATAGCCCGGACATTTTGTTAGCGCTTGCCTCGATGCCTCGGCTTTTCATTTCATTTCGTTGCGCTGGCAGCCACCCAAAAAAAAACCCCCCCACCCAACCGCCCAACCACCAACTGACAGTTACCCAAGTCAAAGCCAGCATCAGATATAGAAATTTTCGTTGCGCTGCAGCCTGAGATCTGGGCGCTATCTTTTGCCATCTTCTCTTTGTGTGTGTGTGTGTGTGCCTTGTGGGGGCTGCTCCAAAACAACCCCCAAAGGGCAATTCAGTGCTGAGGGTTGGCAACTGCAAACGACTTTTTGCGCTGGCTGCGAACAATTTAATGAATGTTTTGTCAGATAAAGCAAAGAAAAAAATAAAATAAAGCAGAAAAAAAATGAGCTGATAAAATGTCTGCTCTGTGTGGGCAGTGGGGTAACACACACAGCCACATAAACCGCTATAGATACAGATACAGCTGCAGATACATAGCACGCACACATATATAGATACAGATACAGCTACAGATACAGATACAGATACAGATACAGTGCACATACTTATACACACACCCAGCCTGAGTGTGCCCCCAAGTAAAAGATGTTACACTGAGATAAACGTAACATTTGCTGGGCAACCGGCTGGGGCTGCTGCTGCTGTTGCTGCTGTTGCCTCCACCTCCACACTTCGCTCTCTGTCACTCTCTGCTTCTCTCTCTCTCTGTTTCTCACTCTGTTCAGCTGCTCCAACCAACGCCCCCCGCCAGCACCTCCTTGGCCTGCGTCTTTGGTGCGATATCTAAGATGGCAAAGGGCATTGCCATCCCCAGCGCACAAAAGCTGCGCAATAAATAGAACTGTAGCTCTGCTGTCTGACCCAGCACCTCTTGACTACCCTGTCGCAACCCGCCCCCCCACTATATACTATACATATATATGGCATTCATACAACAAAAGCATTTACTTTTGTCGGCAACGCTTTTCATTTGCTTTACACAATTTTCGTGGCACATTTTGTTATTGCGTTTGTTTTCCCAATTTCAATTAAATATTCAAATGCGTCTTTGTGTAAATAAAAACAAAATTTGCATACATTTTATAAACAATTCAAAAATTAACAATTAAAATTCAAAACCCAAAAGTAAATAGCAACAATTCAAACAGCCGCCATTTTGTGAACTGCAGACATTTTGTGCGCCGCTGCAACTCATATAAATCAATGCAAGGTGGCAACAATAAAGAAAAAATAAATAAAATGAGGAATTCATCATTGGCATGTCGAAGATGAAATACTCTTGCACACAAATGATCAATGCACTGTGTAATAATCACACAAGTGTTTTTTAGACAGCTTTTTGATTAAGTACTTCGATGTGTGAAGCTAGCAATTGTTGATTTACTGAAAAATAAAACAATTTGTCTTCATTTTTCACAGCATATGATTCTCTGGAAGACGCCTAAGCAACATCCCATACCCATCCATACCCCTATCAACGATTTAATTTCCCTTATCTGCATATCTTCCGGTTTTCCGATTCCGATTAATGCTATATCATATGTATATAGTAATTCAATGTAACTAGGTTTGTCTACAGATATCTTGAAAAACTAAAAGGTGGTGTTTAAACAATTTCATTTTCCACGTTTCAAGGCAGCTCTTTAGTTATAGATTTTGTTAAGTATAGTATAGTTAGGTATATTGCTCAAGTTATCTTAAAAAATAAAATTGATTTTAAATAAAAACTTACCTTTTCCGCTTTTAATAGATACATAATATATTCGTCCGATGATAATGAAGTTTTGATTGTAATTTATGTTTCTTTAAAATATCGCAAGATATAAAAAACTGTTTCATCAATTATTGCCTGGAAGAGAAACAAATAATGTTTAATACTTATGTTTCATCAGGAAAGTTTCAAAAATAAGGGACTAATATTGAATCGTCTGTGATTTTGCTCAGGAATATATTTATGTATATATATAAAGTTATTTTTTTTTATTTGACTGTGGTTCTCGTAAATATAGTTAATAATAATATTTATTTTATGTGGCTGCATATGACACGTTTGCGACAAAATTGTCATACCCTCGGTTAGGGTATGACAGGGGCATTTTGTCATGCTTAAGCGCATTGAGAAATTAAAATTTATGGATTCAAGACAATATGTACGTGCATATAACTATATACATATGTATATATGGATATATATGAGCATTTTCTGTATTGTCTTCTGCTTTTGTATACTATTATTTATCGCAAGCGCCATCTTGTATACGCCTTGCTGTTGTTGCTTTTGTTGTTTGAGTGTTGGCGCTTGCGCTTTTTGCATTTCAATTAAAATGCGCCCCTTTGACAATGTTTGACAGTTTGTCAATACGATGCTGCCGCCCCAAGCGACCTGCCCCGCAACAGCCAGAACGCGCCCGGCCTGACATTGATTTATGTGCCACATTTTGTGGCACTGTTAGCTAAGCACAGCGCCTGCTTAAACAGTCCCAAATAAACATGCTGCAATTTAGCACCTACAACTGACTGCGACCAGTTTACGAATTGAGACTTGCAACATTTTGTGGCATTCGCCTGCTTAGTGCGTTTTGTTGCAGTGTCATGTTAACAACTTAATTTATATATATATATATATATATATAAAGTCGCTTTGGCCTGGCCACATAATTACCTGGAGCTGTTGGTGGAGCCAGCATTTGTAGGCGTTGCAAATGAATTTTGAATTCTCGCACATTTCGATTTCGATTTGGCCGCAAGTCGCAGCTGTCTGTATGTGAAATTGTTACAAGCTCGTTAACACACAACAACAGTGCCACCAAAAAATATGCAGACACTGTTGCAGAGCGACTGCGACAACGGACTCCGACTCCGACTCCGACTGCAGTTGGGATGGGGAGAGTCTTGTGGCATGACCTCTGATTTATGTTAATGGCAGCGTGGCAGCAAGGCGAAACCAGAACAGGTGAGCCACAAGCAGGGCGCAGAGGCAGGAGGCAACAATTAAAAATCAAAGTCAAACATGATCAACGCCAGTTTAGGGCCGCGTTGCAATGTGTTTGCGTTGTTCTTGTTGTTGTTGTCGTAGTTGTTGTTGCTGTACGAGCAACATGAACATAAGCCAAAAGCTGAAGCTGTAGCTGTAGATGTAGCTGCAGAGCCCAGATGCGAGGCCACAAGACGACTTTGGGCCTGCTGCCTGCTGCCTGGTTCTGAGTTCTCGATTCTCGGTTCTGGCTCTTCGCTGCGGCGACGAGGCACAGCAGACAATGTTTTGGGTCTCGAGTTTGGGGCTACGGTTCTTGTAGCCAATTCGTGGAAATTTAAGCGTGGCGCAGACATGCTCCCCAGTTGTTGTTGTTGTTGTTGCTGCTGTTGTTTTTGGGCAGTTTTGTAAAAATTGTCATTTTAATGAATTGATGCTGCTGTTAAAGGCCCCAACTTGGAGTCCGCATGCCATTTAAAAAATGTTGTTGCCTGGTGTGTCGAGCAACTTTGTTTGCCATCCAGAGAACAGGACCTGAACAGACCACTAAGTACATACCCATACATACACATAAACATGTGTGTGCGTGTGTGTACGTGTGTATGTGGGTGTGTGTGTGTTGCTGCGTTAGTTTTGGCACCGTTCAATTAGCGCGACCAACATATTTGTGGGCGTGTGACATTAGCATAATCAATTTTCATGGCTCAAGCTGCTGATGGGCAACAAGAGTTGCTCAATGTAATTGAAAACTGCTCCAGAAAAATTCCTCTAAGCCCCACTATAATGCACTAATTTACACTAAGAAAACCCCAACATATATTTTCTTTGGCACACTTAAGAATATATATCCGGAATGTATAAAAACAAAGGCTAGAACTAAAACATAATTGTAGATTGCCCAATTTAGTTAGAAAACCCTACCTTCAGATAACTTTTCAAATCCGTCGTATCCAAATAAAACACTATACGGCTCTCCGCCCAAATACCATTAAAAACCAATTGCCCTAAGTAGGATCGAGCTACGACGCTGCAGACTTAAAGTTTTATGCTCTATTCTCCTAAACACATTCCTCTCCGCTATATCCTTCCATTCACCTAATACCGATAAATATCGATTTCCTTGACTAATTTTAGTTATTCAATTATTTTGTTAAAGCTAGACTGCTGGCTGATTGCACAATAATAAAAAGCGAGAGAAAACGGCGACTGCAGTCAAGCGCATAACCAAGCTAACCAAGCTAAACTAATCAAATTCTAATTTTTTCCTTCTTTTTACAGACACTACAGTCGCTGCAGAGCGCGGCCAAGCGGGCGGGCACATCCTGCGCCAATTGCAAGACCACAACCACAACCCTTTGGCGGCGCAATGCCAGCGGCGAGCCTGTGTGCAATGCCTGCGGATTGTACTACAAGCTGCACAATGTAAGTAGAAAGTCAAATAGCTATAGTTAAGTCCTGTATTTATATGTATGTATATGTGTATAGCTGTCTATAAATCAGAGGTTGGCCCAGCGGGCCATCGATTTGTGATTTGTGATCAGTTTGGCTTCGCTTTTAACCCTCGTTAAGCGCTTAAGCGATTTAACGCAACATTTAACAGCCGCTCGGGCCACTCAAGCGTTCTCCAGCGGAAGCAGCCCACGGGAAACACACACAGATTAAAAGTGACAAAAATGAAGTGTACCACACACCCGACGCCCCCTTTTTGTAAAACGCCCCGAGAGGGTGGCAGGTTGCAGCAGCAGCAGCAGCAACAACCCCGATGATGAATTGTTGATGATTATTTAAAGATGCCCGTCGTGGTTGTTGCTCGTGTTGCTCGTGTTGTTGTTGGTGTTGCCGTTGCAAGATAAGCGTCTGGTGTTTGGCTGTGAAAATGCGATAAGCTTTGATTTTATTATGGCTAACGCGTGCGACGGCAAACGGCGACGGCAACCGGCGACGAGCGCCCAGAAATTGGCGTAATTTATGTAATAGACTACGGCTCACTGAGTTGACTACCCCTCTGTGCGCCCCCCTTGAAATGTAGCCAATGTTATAGACGCTGTCGAGCCATGTGGAAACTAGATTTAATAACATTTTCGCGACCTGAGGGGCTGGCCGACGTCCCTGTTGCCCCCCACGCTTTAGAGGGCTGTTTTGACCAACTTCTGGCTTATTAAATATTCATTAGCCACGACGGCACATAAACGTTAGCGCTTAGGATATGCGATACCCTGTAAAAATGAGCTGGCTAGATAGGGTATTATAGGCGCTTAAGGTTGGCCTATAAAATTTATACTTCCGAGCTAAGAAATTTGTCTAAGGGTTGTATTTTACATTTTATATAATTAATAACAATATAGAGCGAGTCTTTCAAAAAATAGACAATCTATTGTTGCATTCAATATAAATTTAAATATATTTTGTATTCTATGAGGTGTTGTACTTCCGGGAAGTCCTCTTCTGGTATTTTTAGGTATAGTAAATTTTCTAGATTTATGCAAGCTCGTAGCTTCTATAGGCAGATCTTAGTTTTTAGGTGTCATTCAATAGCTTGGCAATACTTTTGCTATAGCTCAGGCTCTTAAAAGTACATGCTCGATATGCATTGAACTTATTAAACAGTAGGTAATTTTATATAATACAAATAAATATGAAGCTGTAGTTACAGGGCGTTGCCTAGTCAGACTCGCACTATTAGACACCGCTGCTTTGTTTTTGATTTCTTACTTGTCTTTTTTAATTTTTTTTTATTTTATACCCTTGTTTTTTTTTTGTAATGCCCGCCAGTGAACTTTTAATGAGTTTCGGTGAATGCGGCAAAACTTTGAGAGAAATCACTTGAACTTTTAGCACATTTACATGTCAGTGTGGGCCGCCCAAAATTGATGGGCCACCTGTGTGACCGCAAGCTAATTAATTTTGCGGTGGGGGCCTTTTTATTTGTGTGGCAGCTGCAACTGTTGAAACTGCAGTTCGATTTCGATGGCAATCGGCAATTGGCGGCGGCGAAATGTTTTAATTGCGCGAAGTCGGAGTGGGGCATATATATATGTATATCAAAGCAAGTGCAGCACAAGCCATATACATTGTGCATATATGCTCCATATAAATCTAATCTGATGTGTAGGCATGTTAACACTAAAAGCGGCGGCCGCTTGCAACGTGGCGTATGAGCAATGCGCCAAAAAGGAAAAATATATAGAAATGTGCACGCTTTGAGTGGCGCGCGAGCGTATATGTGTGTGAGTGTGTGTGTGTGTGTGAGCGTGTGTATGTGTGTGCTTGCCAGCTAATGGCCTACACACAAACATACACACATGAGCCTGCGCATTCATAGCGGCGAAATTTATTTTGCAAAAATTTTCTTTCAATTGGACAGTGTCCCATCTTGATAAGATGCCAATCAGCGCGCTTTTTGCATTGCTCAGTGTTCAGTGCAATGGTTGTTGTTGTTGTTGTTGTTCTTGTTGCTGCTGCCTAGCTCTAGCAGTTCATTTCAATTCAATTCGTTTGTCATTTGGCCGCCATCGTCGACGTCGTCGCCGTCGTCGTCAGCCTGTGTGGGCCTCTTGGTTGAGCGATCTGGCCATGTGATTGGCACATTTTATGGAAATGTTGACTGCATTTAGTGCAATCCACCCCTCTCTCTCTTTCTCTTTCTCTTTCCCTCTCTCTCTCTTTGCGTGATTGTCGTTGCGCGTGTCTTCACGCAGTTCGCTGGAAAAGTGCGCTAATTAAGACCAAAAATCAGACACTTGCCGTCGCCCAAGCACGCGTCCTGTTGCACAGCCTGCTTAACTGTTTATCAGCTCCTGCTGCGCGATTGCTGTTGAATATCCTGTTGTGTCACAGCTGCAGCTGCAACAGCTAACTGTGGCAATATTAGAGACATGCGCCTGGCGCCGTCTCAGCCAATTTGCCAAGAACAGGCAACAGCTCTGTGCGACTCGCCCCTTTTTACATGTAGCCCACCCACTTGGCTGTCTTTGGCAGCCTGTCAGATTGCAAGTGAGCTGCAGCGGCGCGTGTTGCCCCCATGTTGAATGCCCCAAACGCAAAACGCTCGCTCGCACGCTCGATTAAGATTTTATGCATAAAAATCAGCGCTGCGCTGCGACTGGAGTTTCTGCTGAATTCCTTAATGAGCTAGGCCTGTGCGCCCCAGCGCATTAACAACTTTATGCTTTGTTTAGTCGCCGCGGCTGCGACTGCTGCTGCCACTGCTGCTGCTGCATATCAATTAAAGCTTTTGAGCAGCTGCTGCTGAGCTGCTAATTGCCACAATTTGCGCTAAGCGCTAGGGAGGCGGCACAGACCAGAGAGACTATCAATTACCGATCGTCCAATTCAGCAGCAGCATCCCTCGCCCCTACCCGCCTCCCTATAGCCATCCCTCTGTGTGCCCACTGTAACTGATACATTTTGCTCTTGTTTGCCGTTGTTTTCGCTGCATTACACAATTCAACCCTCCGCCTCTTAAAATCTTTCGTCAAGCGGCTCACACAAACAATTGCCCGGCAATTTAACAATTTCGGGGCAACAAGCAACAGCAACAACAACAGAAAAAGGGCCACAAACAATGTCGTAATTCACGCCCAGGTAGTCCCGGACTGCACACTCCACACTCCACTTTCCATTAAGTGCAACTACTGCTGGCTTATATATATATATATATATATATACCTTTTTATTTAGAGAAAATGTAACTTTTCTTTGTCGTCAACGCAGCCTCGGCGAATGGGTAACTCAATATTGTAATTGTAGCGCAATGAGGCGCTGTTGTTGCCGCTTAGATGTTCGCAAGTGATAGGAAATTGCATATGAAGCGGCAGGCAGGCAGCCTCAACAATGGACTCATACACACAACAACAAAAAAACACTAAAGAGAGCGAAAAAACAGGGTATAAAAAGTAGCTTCGTTTGCCGCTCGCCCCTCTGGCAGCGCGACGTTTGCTATCAGCGCCAACTAATCGCATTCGCAAATGTCGCTTATCTGATCGTGTAGAAATGCTTGTAATACTTCATTTTCACTTCCCGGTTCCCGACTGCTGCTCCTGCTGCCGCTGCCACACAGTTGTGTGCCGCACAGTGCGTTGCAACAGACAGCGTGTGCAGTTAGCGGCATTTCCGGCCAAAAAGGGCCGCGCCATGAATTTGCATAAATTTGACCCATTTTAGTTGCCGCTGGGCAGCCGCAGCCGCAGCAGCAGCAGACACAGTTTATTGATTTTCTTTTTTTGCCGCCTATTTGCAACACACCCACTAAACAGCTGCCTCATTTGTGTTTGTTTCTCTTGTTGCAGGTCAATCGTCCACTTACCATGAAAAAGGAGGGCATACAAACGCGTAATCGCAAGCTCAGCTCCAAGTCAAAGAAGAAGAAGGGCCTAGGCGGCGGTTGTCTACCAATTGGCGGACATCTGGGCATGGGCGATTTCAAGCCGCTTGATCCGTCCAAGGGCTTTGGCGGCGGCTTCTCGGCCTCCATGGGTAAGCAACAATGAGCCAGCGTGTCCAATGCCATGCTAAACATATATCGCCTTTTGTTTCCATTCCAGCGCAACATGGACACCTTTCCAGCGGGCTGCATCCGGCACATGCGCATATGCATGGCAGCTGGTATACCGGCGGCATGGGCGCATTGGGCGCCTCTGGTGGACTCCAGGGTGGCTTCTCCACGGCCGGTTCACTGGGCGGCGGCGTTGTGCCGCACTCTCAGCCCTATCACTTGGGTCTCAGCTCGATGGTGAGTATAAGAGACGAGTTGTATAAGAGCAAGACAGCGAGAGAGAGAGAGAGAGAGTGAGAGATAGAGAGTGAATGAGAAAAAGAGAGAGAGGGAGCGAGAGCGTAGCGCAATGTTTATTAATGTCTCCATTTTGGGTGCTTCCCCACTCTTCCCCTCTCTACAATTGCAGGGCACTTGGCGCACTGACTACACGTGATGGAGCGGGAACAATTTGAACAACAACTTGTTCAGCTAGAGCGCCGATTTGTAAACTGACTTGATTTCCAAACAAACACAATGCCAAACTGAGGACTCTCCCTTCGCAGCCATTTGACCAGAGCACAAGCAACAGCAGCAGCAGGAGCAGAAGCAACGCGTCAGAACCTTCAAGCAGGCAGGAGCCACATCTGTTGATCTCCTAGCTTATCTTTGCGGGAAGTGCGGGCGGTGTGCTCGCTGGTCAAGTGCTGGCTATTCCTAATTGTAAACATTGCGTGCAATTTTTAATTATTTAAGTTTTCGTCGTTGTCGGCCAGCAGCTAAAACAAAGCCCATTAAAATTAATTAAAGGGCCGCACATATTATTTTTATTGCGCTCGTTTGTGTGTGTATGTGTGTGTTAGTGTGTGCGATTGTGTGTGTATGTGTTTGTGTGTGATTGTGTGTATTCATTGTTTTATTTTTCGCTTAATTAATTTAATTTCTTGACGCAATTTCGGCGTATTTAATTGTGCTTTATGAACTGCCATAAAATCAGCAAAAATATACAAAATAAACTTATTAAAAAAATATAAATTAAATAAAACCAAAAGCCCGACAAACGGAATTTCATAAATATTAATATGTATATATGTATATCCACAACTGAAAACAAGAGCAGCAACAACAGCAACAACAACAAGCACACAGAAACTAACGATAACTAAGCATTAATATTAACTCATTAAATGCACGTCCAAAAAAAAAAAAAACAAAATCAAAATAAATAAAAAACACGCATAAAAACTGAAAATTTGTTTTGTATAAAGCAACTGCAAAATGTTTGTCCTATTACGCAATGCAATTGTAAATTGCAAAATACTTTAAACTGTAAATTAGTTAAATTATTAGACATTAAACAAACAGACGTGATAAACAAAAAGAAAAAAAACATAAATTTAAACAATTTAATAAATGTAAAATTAACTTTTAATAACACATACTTAACCTAATAGCAAGGCAAACAGAAGGAAGAAAAAAACAAAATGAAGTCAAATGGTAGGACAGTGTATGTATTATAAGGCATACATACACATATACATATACACACAAGCCCATACTATATGTACATATAAATGTTTAATGTTTATGGCTAAGTCTTAAAAATAAACATAAAGTACATTTAAATCAATTCAATGTTAAAGGCAATTTGTAAAATATGAGAAAAAAAAAACGATAAACATAAAGAAAAAAAACATTTGTTAGCAATTTTTGTATAATTTTAGCAAAAAGAAAACAAAAGTATTTATAAAACTTTAAATAACCGCTTAAGTTCTGTGTACATATACTACAAATTTAGTGTTAAACATAATTTATGTGCGTGTGAGGTAAAACAAAACAAAAACAAAAGCAAAATGGAAAAAAAGAATATGTAATATGTATATGTATACTTACTTCTAGAGCTATAGATATATATGTTGTAAGCATATGCGATAAATGTATTGTAATTGGCCATATTGATAGTTGAATATATAAAAAAAAACATACGTTTATTTAAATTTAAAGGCAATCACCAGAAAAGATATACAAAAATCAGAAAAAAATATATAAAAATACAAAAAAAAAAAAGAACTACAAACAAAAACAAGCAAACAACAAAAAATAAATAAAATAATTTATGAAAAAAAGCGAGTTGCCTATAATTGTGCTAGTGAAACTGTAGAACGGTAACTGACGGCAAAGATTGATTAATTGCGGCCAGATGATTGGACACAAATCGAAATCGAAATCAGCCGAGGCGCACAATTGTGCAGACAGACAATTGTGTGGAAGCAATGTATTTATAATGCCCATTTATGCTTATGAATTGCTCTTTAAATTTCGATGCGTCTTCAATACAAAACGTGCGCCGTCTTTGCCGTCTTGGCCGTCTCTGCCGCCGCCGAGGTGTTGGCCAACGCCGAGGTTCTAACGTCTTTTGGCCCAGTTGGTCATTTGTTATGCGGCATTTGTTGTATATTGAACGCATGAGTTATGAGCTGGAGACGCAGTTGCTTGTATTGAGGCGTGAAATGGCATGTTAATTTATTGGTACGACAACGGCAACACCAGCCAAAAGGCAGCGCAAGTACAGTAAAAACACACACAAGCATTAGCCGCCAAAGTTCGTTGCCTAAGTCTTTTGTTTTACGAGTGCGCCGGCTGGTCATAAAGCGCACATCAACTGCAAATAAGCATAGGTATGTAAAGTACCTTCACTCAGTTTATGAGTAGTTAAAAACTAGACTGCCCCCTGGTTTAATGGGCATGGCGCTAATTAATGGCCAACGCGTGTCTGTTGGCCATAAAGTCGGCATCCAGCTAAGCGAATTTGTATGTGCTTAAAGCCACATATCAATGTACATTGGCTAATTCCATTAATTGTCAACGGGCATCCGCTTCCGTTGCACCTTGTGCCAATTTTGTTTTTTTTTTTTTTTTAGTTTTTGCAGTCACACGCAAGGCTCATCAAGCATCTATTTAATGAAATAATAACAATATATACAAATACCTAGCCTATCACGGTGAGTGCATCTTTTGGGCAGTGTAATTGAGCCGACAATTAAATGCACGTTAAATGCAGCCAAGCACAGCAAGAACAACAATCTCTTATATAGACGCCATATTGTGCAGATTCATGTCAGAGAAATTGCACAGCATCACATGAGCGTGAGTCCCGTTTGGGAGGTCCCTCATTTGTCTAATTGCATTCAAGTTCGCATGTGTCAATGTTTCTAACTGGCCACGCCCATAATTGTTATATAATTACATTGTTATTCGGTACTTTTTTTTTTGGGGGTGCGCGCAATTAACTTGAAATAATCACAAATAAAACTATGACATTAGTTGAACTGTTCTCCATCAGTTATGGACAGTCGCAGAACTTGAACGCGGCGATCAATGCATTACAAATGACTGGCCATATATAAATCAGTTAATCAGCATCTGCGATAAGCCCTGATGGGCCGCATATTCATATGTGCTGTGCCTGGGAAAAGCTACATGCCACACGCAGCTGACCATAACCAAAACATAAACCAGCCCAAAATACAATATGGCAGCATAAATCAATGGCTAGCTGAACAAAGTAGCAGCAGCGGCAGTCACAAATATTTGGGCATGCATTAGCTAATTAGTGTTTAGGTCAGGTCGAACGCACAGGAGTTGAACAAACGTAGGGCCTTTATGATTATCTAATAGATAGCTGGGGACATGTGGTAGCAGTTCGATTGTTTATGCCTGGTATGTGACTAACGACATATCATATTTGTTGCTGCTAGCTCTTATAGTCTCTGCGATCGGGGCGTTTAGCTAACAGGCTGAACGGCTTATGCTAATCAACAAACGCAGTCCTCTTTCTGATAACTATATCAATATAACTGACTAGAATGAAGTATATATTAGAAATATCGCAAGTGACCTTCGATAAGGTTTTTGGACTTGTTGTTAAATCCACATATACAAATTGCCTAGTTAATTGTTTAGTAATATACTCCATAATACTCCATAATATAATCTTTTCAAAGAACTACTAAACATTCCATTAATAAAAAATTTTCAGTTAAGAACGCTGCGCTTTTCTTTAGATAACACGATTTAAAAATTCGAATTGTTTATATATCCTATATGTTATGTCGCTATAAAGAAGTCTTGACAATTTCACCTCAAAGATGAACATAAAGAATTTAAGTATGTTGGTTTTTTATGTTTTAATATCTCATCCCAGTATCCGACACTTTGTTAAGGAGACATCTCCAAGCACTACAGTATATATATTCTTGAACAGTAGCAATAGCCGAGTCTATATGACCAAGTTCCTCTGAACTTTTTTTTTTGTATGCAAAATAAGCATAAAAGCTCTTGTCGTATCATATAGCTAACATCGGAATGATCGGTAGGGAATTAAGATCTTCTTTAAAAAATCTGGTTGATTTCCTTTTTTAATAAGGACATCCTGTCAAGCTTCCAAATGCCAAATTTGGCATATGTCAAGATTACGATGGAGCCTACAACAAGGGTCAGATCAATTTCTTAAGCAGCCGCTAAACCCCATTAAGAAGAGGCGCCTGCAAAGGATACACCTCTGCGACTTAACAACTAGGTGAACTATTTAAATCCTTGAGATTATTAGACTATGCCCACAACCGCGGCCATATCACAAACCTTTCGGCAAAAATATGGTTTTCAATATTCTGAGAAGTACTCTCAGAATAGTGAGTTATTTTTCTTCATTCCAGCTTTAATATAACATTCTATAAGAGCTAGAATTCAAATTAGCCCGTTCAACTGTTTAAGGCACTTAGTGCGTCATATAATAAGGGCTTATATACATGTATATGTATAGGTATATACATTCATATATATAATTGCAAACAAAAGCAGCGATGGCAACAATTATTTGGTCATGCATTAACTAATTAGTGGCAGTGGCAACAGCGTTCCGATAACATTGGGCCTTTGCCTCCTACCGTCTGCCTCTGCCTGCCACCCCGCCTGCTACTGTCTGCTCCTCTGCCGTTGGTGCTGCTGCTTCTGCTGCTGTTGCTCTTCCTCTTGTCTCTGCCATGGCCATGGTTTGTGCGCTCGTGCGTTTGGGCTGCAGGTTTATCTGATTGGAAATGTTTGGCCAACAATGGCGACACACAGCAAACGGCCACGCACACCAACACACATACACACACACACACACACAAGCACACACATACAGTTACAGGCAAACAAACAAAATGCTTCTTTAGATGATTAACTATGATAGGACACTGTAACCATTGGTCCAAAAGAATATCGATACATTTGTTAGATTTAAATGGATTTTAATATAGCACAGTTGAACACCAACGCCTCGCCTGGAAACCAATTTAATTAGCCAGTGTCCGTGTTGCGTTATTATCTGCAAAGCCATTACATAATGTACCATACAAATATATGTGGTATATAGTATATATAGCATGTGCATGACTATTTATCAGACTTGCATCAGAGCCAAAGCTCATCAATGCAGTTGCCCAGGCAGCTGTTAAATGTAATTGCTTTTCTATGAGTGTGCAGCAGAGTGTGTGCGTGTGTGTGTATGTGTGTATATGTGTGCTGCTTGTCTATTCATTAATTTTACAATGACAGCCACAATTTCAATTAAAATTCAGCTTAAACACATGCACACACGCACACACACACACACACACACACACACTCAACCACAAACGAAAATTGGGCTTTTGTAGGCAGCGATTGGACACAGGCGATAGGGCAACAACAACAGCAGCAACAACAACAACAACAACAACAACAACAACAACA